TTGTAATATAGTTGGAAATGTACACACTAGGAGTTCCCTCTTACTGTGTGCCACAGGCTCTAGAAATGGCTTGCAAAAAGTTAATTTTGAAATCAAGCTGTCCAATCCTATCTTTTTATGGCAGCTCCAACAGAAAGTCCTGCCTAAGGTCTGTTAGTAGTCAAGTTTGGGTCCCTGTTGGCCCAACCTGAATGCTTCACAAGCAGCTTCTTGCACTCAGTGGAAGCCAAACCACTCCTCCCCACCGTCACCCGCCTCCCGCAGGCCAGTACATGCTTGCTAGGGGACTTCCCCCAGCTTTAGGGTACACCCTGTGAGGAGAAGGAAGGAGTCTGGTTTTTCATCCAGGCTTGGAATGTGTGAAGGAGTGAGCTGTGGAGGGCAGATCTTGGTTCACTGTGGACCCACAAGACAAGGTGGAACCAGTTTAAACTGTTGCTGGGTTGGGATTTTGGTGTGTTAGTGGCAAGTCCTTCCTGGTCTGTAAATAAGGCTGACGGGACGCTACAATGCATTGCAAAGGAGGGCCTTTGGGAGCCCCCAAAGGTGATTTTCAGAGAAAAGCAGAGAAAGACTTTCTGATATGACTTGAGTGATCAGAATTAGGAGACAAGGACAGTAAATTCTGTGATACTACGTATCACCTTCTGAGGTAGCCCAGAAGTGCAGATCTCTTCCTGTTGCAGTGAATTAGGTAGGGGCTCCAAAATGCAGAGGCAGCAAAATAAGGAATCACCTTGGTTCACCAAGGCTTCTCCACCCAAGCCCTGGCAGGCGGTGGGGGCAGGGGACCCCTGGAACCATTCCTGCAGGCAGAGTCCTTTTCTCAGAACAGAAGGAAGCCTAGTGCCCAGCTACCTCAGGACGCCCTTTCTATTGCAGGGATCCTTTGACTTCGTGCGTGGCTTCTTCCCCCCTCCACTGCCTGGCTCCTTCCTCCCTCCTTCCTCCTACCAGGCCAAGCCTGCTTCTGCCTTGTGGCTGTGGCCGACCTTTCCCCAGCTTGGCTCGAGGTGCCAGGGCACTGACTTCCCTACCAGTTCTCAGCTTGGAAAACCTCACCCTTGCTGTTGCCAGGATTTCCTAATGCGACCCAGGTGACCTGCTATCTCTAGGCAAATATTTGCGTTTGTAGTATTTTGGTCATTGACCTGCTGGCAGTGCCCCTGTCCCACCACCTGCCCTTTCCCCCTAGTGACCCGGCGTCTGTGCACTGTCTGAGGCCACGGGGTCCTGATGAGCAGACACTGGCAGAGTGGAGGCAGGGCCAGGAAGAGAGCCACTGTGGACAAGCTACCCTTTGGGCCTACTGTGGCAGGGGATGCAGTGGCTGCACTGGCCCTGAAGGAGCCTTTGAGCCCCTAGGGAGGAAGATGCACACTGGTGACTGAGAGGCAAGGACATGGCTTCCAGTTCCAGTGGCCCCGGTGTGGGACCGGCCTGTGAGAGCCAGTGGTCCCCAACAGGCCTGGGTGGACTGTCTGGAGACCGTGGGCCAGCCAGGCTGTCAGTGCGGTGCAGCACCTTGCACCCCTGCCTCGGGCAGCCAGAAAGCAGCACCTCTAAACCCCAAAGTTTTCAGCTAGTCTAGTGATAGGTGGGGGAAGATGGTGTCTCTGGACTTGATTTCTACAATAACCTTACCTGTGTGGTGAGGACTCTTATATTTAAAAGAAAAGCACAGCTGATTCAAATTGATGGTGTAAACAAATCCAGTGGTTTAATCCTGAAAAAAATCCTAAACCTGCTATTTGAAGTGAAGTCCTAGCGGCTCTGCTGGCCCCCCTGCAAAGTGGTGGTGTCGGATGGCGGAAAGGAGGAGGTGGCAGCTGAAGCAGGGGGTGTAGTGGGGAGCGGGGCTATGGCTAGAGTTGCCCCAGCACTCAGCCAGTCCTTCATCTGGGCCTGAGGAATTTGGGGCCCCTGGCCAAGTACTAACTAACTACTTGGTTAGTAGTTAGTAACATTGACTAACTAACTACTAACATTGACTACTTTTGCCCATTTCTACCAAGTACAGAAGGCTCTGGAAATGAAGTCACGGGGCAGGACAGGCACAGTGGAACTCTGGGGATCAGAGCTACTGGCCTCTGCCGTTGAAGCTGTAAAGTGAAGAGGGTAATTAATGCCTGTTCTCTTTGGGCTGCTGTCAGAAAAAGAATGGATAGAAAGGGCTTTGAAAAATGCAGAGAACTATACAAATGTCAGTTACTCATGGAATCAAAAGCCTTGTACCCCAGCACACAGCAGGTGCTCACAGAAGTGTCTATTTTTTGACTGACCACTGAATCCAAGGTGACCTAAGGAGGGCTTCTTAAATTGTCTGCTTCAAGGCTCTCATCTTACAAATTAGGAAACTAAGGTTCAGAGAGAGTCAAGTTTGTATCTGTTCTTCAGGGAAGACTTAGCAGTTAAGGCTGGGTTTTGTGATCACAGTTCTGGAGAGGTCTTTGAGCCTCTTTCCTCTGTGGTGAGATTTCATGTCGTCCTGTCCCGGAGCCAGGGGAGAGAGTTCGTTTCTAGAGGTGCCTTCTGTCCCTTGATCCCTTCAGACCTCCCAGTCAGCAGGCAACCTGGGAGGCTGTGCAAGGGAATTGAAGTGTTCCAGGAAGGCAACATCTGTTTAAAGGTGTAATTGTTGGTGCCTGAGGAGCTGAAGACTAGGGGTGGGGTTGGAATAGAAAAGGGGCCCAGGTTATGTATTGGTGGGTGAGATAAAGCCTGTAACGTGGAGGAAGAAATTCAGAAGGGAGGTGGAGATAGTGTAGATAAACATGCAGAGATGTCCATTTATTCAGTAAACATTTAATAACTATTGAGCGCCTGATAGGTGCTAGGCACTGGGTTACCACAAACAGGCTAAGCTTATGCTCTCAAGCAACTTAGTGTCAGGTGGCTTTCTGGGCAGAAATGGGGAAGGCACTGGAGTCTGTGCCCCTGGGGCTGAGCAAGTGAATCCTCTTCCTCTCCCTTTCACCCTGGATGCCTGTCCTGCAGCCCATGGAAAGGTAAACCCACCTTTGCCTCCTGTGAGGAATGCAGGATTGGGCAATCCCTTGGCAGTGGGCAGGTCTTGCCTCAGCTGATGCAACTGTGGTCTTGCGTGTACACAGATGACCTGCCTGGCAGGCCTTCCTGCAGGAGGAGGAGTCGGGCCACAGCTTCAGGAAGTAGAAGAGTGTCGTCATAAGCAGCTTCCCCAGCTATAGATGCCAGGGGAAGTCTGGCTGAGCAGCTGAACTTGAGCAGGGAACCCCCCAGCCTCTCTAGCTGGGGGCTCATGGCCTCAGGTAAAATCTAGCTCAGTGGTCAGCTTATCCACTTGGAAGCCAAATAAAAAATAATGAAATCTAAGACATGACACCATAAAACTCCTTGAAGAGAACATAGGCAAAACATTTTCTAACATAAGTTGTGGCAATATTTTCTTGGATCAGTCTCCCAAGGCAAAAGAAATAAAAGCAAAAATAAACAAATAGGACCTAATCAAACTTAAAAGCTTTTGCACAGCAAAGGAGCCCATCAACAAAACGAAAAGACAACCTGCTACGGAATGGGAGAATATATTTGTAATGCAACCAACAAGGGCTTAATTTCCGGAAGATACAGACAGCTCATACAACTCAATATCAAAAAAAAAAAAAATCAAAAAATGGTCAGAAGACCTAAATAGACATTTCTTCAAAGACATACAGATGGCCAACAGGCACATCCAAAGATGCTCAACACTGCTAATTATTAGAGAAATGTAAATCATAACCACAATGAGGGGACTTCCCTTGTCCCCTCACAATTCCAAGCAATGAGGTGGCTCAGTGGTTAAGAACCCACCTGCCAATGCAGGGGACACGGGTTCGATCCCTGGTCCGGGAAGATCCCACATGCCGCAGAGTGACTAAGCCCGTGCGCCACAACTACTGATCAGCCCGCAGGCCTAGAGCCCATGCTCCACAACAACAGAAGCCACTGCAATGAGAAGCCCGTGCACCACAATGAAGAGTAGCCCCCGCTCGCCGCAACTAGAGAAAGCCCGCATGCAGCAACGAAGACCCAACGCAGCCAAAAATAAATTAAAAAAAAAAAAAAACCACAATGAGGTATCACCTCACACTGATCAGAATGGCTATCATCTAAAAGTCTACAAATAATAAATGCTGGAGAGGGTGTAGAGAAAAGGGAACATTCCTGCACTGTTGGTGGGAATGTAAATTGGTGCAGCCACTATGGAAAACTGTGGAGGTTCCTCAGAAAACTAAAAATAGAGCTACCATGTGATCCAGCAATCCCACTCCTAAGCATATATCCAGAAATGATAAAAATTCTAATTTGAAAAGATACATGCAGTGTTCTTTAGCAGCACTAGTGTGCTGTTCTTTAACATCCCAGTTTTCATAGCAGCACTCTACAATAGCCAAGACATGGAAACAACCCAAATGCCTATCAACAGACGATTTGTTTAAGAAGATGTGGTATACACACACACACACAATATGGAATGTTAACCTCCCATAATAAAGAAATATTGCCTTTGCTGGATGGACCTAGAGAATATCATACTAAGTGAAGTAAGTCAGAAAAAGACAAATATTATGTGATATCACTTATATATGGGACCTAAAAAATAATACAAATGAATCTATATACAAAACATAAATAGATCCACAAACGTAGAAAACAAAGTTCTGGTTATCAAAGGGGAATGGGGAGGTGATAAATTAGGGGTACGGGATTTACAGATACTATATAAAATAGATAAGCAACAAGGATTTACTGTATAACAGCGGGAACGATATACCCAACAACAATATTATAATCACCTATAATGGAAAATTTTCCCAACAATATTGTAATCACCTATAATGGAAAATAATCTGAAAAAATATATATAAAACTAAATCACTTTGTTGTTCATCTGAAACTAACCCAATATTGTAAATCAACTCTACTTCAATTTAAAAAAATCAACAACAGAATCTGTTAACCGGGCTTGTCTCTTTCAGTAACCTTGCGGGCAATATCATCAATGAGGTAGTCCTGAACCTGCTTAAGGCTGGGTGGTCCCGGGAAGAAATTGGGATGGAGCACTTGGAGCCCCAACTCCAGGCTGGGATTGTGGAAGCCACAGGTAAGTGACTCCCAGCCTTGCAGAAAATAAGCCTCTGTTGAGAGGGGAGGAGGAGGGTGATGCGTATGTACTAGAAGGTGTACTCATGAGATAGGGCATTCAGGATCACAGAGGATGCGTCATATAATCATCTCGTTGTCAACTTCAGATAGGCACTAGAAAAGTGCCAAGAAAGCTGAAGTCCTTTTCTGAAAGTCCTTTGTAAGGGAGTAGTTGGCCGTGGCCATACAGGCAGTGGTCTATGGAGTATGCAGACCCTGAGGAAGAAAGTCTCACTGTGAGAGCCTCAGTGGCTCAGCCTCCAGTTGGATAGGTAGGGTCACTCCACCTTCTGCTTTCTGCCATCCAATGAAACCATAACCTGGCAGGCATAGCCCCTCTCCCCCTCTCACACATCCAGTTAATCATGGCCCTGTTTCCCTAAAGGAAGACACAGTTGCATAGTTCTTGACATAAAGTTCAGACAGCCCTCCTGGAGTTGGCATATAAGAACAAACCTTGCCCAGGCCTAAGGGTGGGGGACACCTCATAATTCCAGTTGGGTTCAGCCCCAGGTCAGACTCCATGTAACTTTGCTCTTGATTTTAGACAGTGGCTTTGGACACAGCTGTCTTGTGAAGGAAAACCTGATTGACTTCTTCATCCCCTTCCTGCCACTGGAGTACCGTCACGTGAGGCTGTGTGCACGTGATGCTTTCCTGAGCCAGGAGCTCCTGTATACGGAAGAGGCACTAGATGAAATCGCCAAGATGATGGTGTACGTCCCCAAGGAGGAACAACTCTTCTCTTCTCAGGGATGCAAATCTGTTTCCCAGAGAATTAACTATTTCATGCCTTGAGAGCTAGATGACAACTTCCCAAAGCTGCCTTCCTTCCACTAATAGGATCCTGGGGCCTGTCAGCACACTGTCCAGGACGTAACGGGTTGGAGGGGCAGGCTAGCATCCAGCAGCCACAAGCACAAGTGGTGTGTAAAAGGGAGGCCTTAAATCAGAGACAGAGCCAATTCTTAAAATCACTTGGTGCCTTACAGAGCCACATTCCAAAATGTGGGCCAGCTGGTTGGAGAAAGTCATGTGGGAGATAAATCCCAAGGATTTATTAGCATATCAGCTCCTGCCTGCAGATGCCTGGACTTGGGGGTTGGGCCTGAGGCTGCAGTATCCTCAGCGACAGAGAAGGGAAAAATTAACTTCTGCTTACCAGTGGCAGGAACTGGGTGGGTTAGCTTTCAAGTTGTTGTTCCCAGAGGGAAGCTGATCAGCTTCTATCTGTGAGATCAGGAAAGAGCCTCAGGCTGAAGGAAAAAGTGCACAGAGGAAGATTTTTTTTTTTTTTAATCAGGTCAGTGTAGGCTAAGCCTTGTTCTGCTCTGCAGATTTAAATCAATTAAAATTATTTTTTTTTAAGTTAGGGACCTTGACATGATTTTATCATATGTAAAGATTAAAATTTTGTATTTTTCTAAAACCCTCGGCTTACTTACCTTCTTACTGAGCCCTAGTAATCGTGCTCACTCAGCAAAATTCCACATGCCAGGTAACACTGATGGGGACTGGTGGAGACGGGGGACATATACTGGCACTCACAGAGCTGACAGGGTGACTGCCTCGTCTGCCAGTTTACTTCAGTTTGCTTTGGAACCACATCAGCTGAGCCAGGCTATCTCAACCTCTTACTGAAGAGGCATCCACAGCATACTGCCCTTATATATATGAAAACAGCACTCCTGTGCTCCCAGCTTTAAAAAGAAAAACAGTCATCGTTGAGGATTGAATGGCCATGTGTAAACGTGTACATTGTGCCTCTATACACAGGAGGTGCTCATTATGTGTTTTTCCCCTTCCCTTGATTCTTCCCTTCTACCACACTTACGGAATTACACACACACGGCTCTTTTATATGTGTCATCACCTCACGTGGCCCTCTTATTTACAGTCCTCCCAACCCTCTCACCTTTAGCCCTGGTAAAATGGAACACTTCTGCTTCTCTCCTGTTTAACACTTTATTACATTCATTTACTTGAATTCATTTACCTCTAGGTTAGGCAGTACCTAGCCTGAGCAATATTAGATACCCAATCAATACTCACATGAATTAAAGGAACTTAGTTTTACACCACCCATGGGACAGACGTAAACCTGGCCTAACTGCACAATAAAATGGGGGCCGGTTTTAGGTGCTGGCTCCTTGTCTCACTCTAGAGCATTTCAGGAACAGCATGCAGCCACCCAATCCTGTAACATGCTCAGATCTAAACTCTGTAAATACACACTTTAAAAGGTATGTTCTATAGCTTTAGGTCTCAGAGCCACAGAGCAGCTGACATGCTTTTAGCACTGGCCGGCCATGTTTGATGTCATAAACATTGGGTCTGAATCTCATACCTCGGGAACCAAAACAAGCAGCAGGCTGCAGTGGTTCCGAACACTCCTCTGGAGCCAGACTCCTCTGCTCAGCGGCTCCGCCACTTGCTGCTTGCTGTTGAGACCACGGGGAAAGCTACTGGCTTCAGTTTAACTTTGGTTTCCACTTCTGTAAAAATGAGCATAACTGTACCCACCTCACAGGGCTGTGAGAATTAAATGAATTAATATTTATCAAGTACTCAGCACACAGAACTTTAGGTGTTTTAAGAATAATAAAACCTAGTAAAACTGCTGTCAGTTTTGGCACCATACTCAAAGCCCAGGCTGGGCCTTTCCCTCCATTCTAATTCTTGGAACCCTGCAAGTTTTGTTTTAGGTAACTAACATTTGCAAACATACCATGTGTCATACTACGTGCTAAGCGCTCTATAGCCTAGTCGATACCTCATGTAATACTTAACACTTAGGGACCAATTTAATCACCATTTAATGACTGAGAAAATTGGGGCTCTGAGAGGTTAAATAACTTGGGTTAAGTCACAGAGCTAGTCAATGAAGGAGTGGGATTCAACCCGGGCAGTCCAACTCCAATTCCTATGCATTAATGACAATGTTTCTAAAATGATTTTCTTGGCAAATGCCATAGCCTCGGGTGTGGAAAGTGTGTGGAACAATGGGAGGTTGGAAAGTGGGTGGAAACAATGGGAGGTTCTCCTTGAATGACTCTGAAACAAGCCTTCCTAAACTAAACCAGAAATGCTTGGGAGAAAAGGACCGAAAGTGGCATGTTAAGGAGGTGTATAAACTGATGCTTACAGGGTCAGGGAGGACAGTTTTTCCTTTTCCCCTTCTAGCATCTTTGGCTGGCCTAATAATTAAATCGACATAAGATTAACAGGAGAAAAACAAAAGTTTAGTAAAATGTACACATGAGAGAGACCCAGGAAAACTAACTCCAAAATGGCAGAAACTATCACCTTAACTACTATTTTCAGCTAAAGACAAAAGCAGATATTGGGGCTGGTAGGTCAGTTATGGACGGTTACCAGGAAAAGCACAGTAAAAACAATTGTGAGGTTGTTATGCAAATTTACGTCCTCACCTCCTCCACTGATAAGTTTCTAGAGTTTCATCCTCCTCTTCTTGGTAGAGCAAGGGAGACACCCTTACAAATGGAGATTTCCCTCACAACTGTAAATCTCTTACAAAAGGGTAACTTAGTTACTCAGGTTTCGCCTGTGTCTGCAGTTTCTTAAAGATAACCAGCTTAAAATAACCCTTATGCCAAAGAGGCATATTTTGGGGTGGCAAATTCTGCTCCCCTACAACAGCCATTCTGATTGGACTGTATGTGTGCATCGCTTGAGTATATCCTACTCATCCTGAATTAAAATGTTACTTCTAAAAGCAATGAATCATTCATTTTTTTTTAAATTGAAGACCAAGTCAAACAAGACTAGAACGTTCCCTGTGAGGTTCTACACTTACTCCATTAATGCTGCTTTGGCTCAAAACATTTTTACAACTTATTTGAAACTGTCCTCAGAATGAACTTTGAGAGAATTAAGCCTCATTTTACAGTCACCTCATGTTGGATGGATGGACAGACCCACATACACATCACCCACCTTATGTATCAGCTGGGCTCCAGATGATGCCTTTGGCCATTTCCAAAACTGTAATCCATCAAAGGGTGAGTAGCCACCCCCATAGAGGACCATTCTAAAGAATATGCCAGAGGGATGCTTGCTAAAATCAGCTTCTTTACCTTACAGATATCTATTTTATGTAGAGAGAGAGAGAAATTATGCTTAGATTACCCATCAGTTAAAATTATAGGAGAAACACTCCAATCACAAGCCCACATTGCCAATAAAATATTGCAACCTTTATTTAAAATAAAACACAAGTTGGCAAGCCTTGTGAGACAACAGGCAGACAGCATTCCCCTTTCAAGGGCCTCATTATTTACATCAAGTTTAACACTGTTAGCAGTTCACAGTCAGACAACAGGGTGAAAGTATTAAATTAGAAAAACAAAACACCTGAAAATATATTACAATAACAATTAAGAACAAATACCTGACAACACTGGTAGTGTGACCCATGATTGATGTGTTTTCAATTAAATCCCATATTGTCTCACTGTGTCCCCTTAGCAATGCACACAGGGGTAGGCCCTCCAGACTTCCCCCTCTGTGCACCCACCACACATACACCTGCAGAGCGTGACCTTTGGTATAAATATTAAACAAGTTTTAAAGAATCTGAATCATACGTTTTAAGGACAAACTTCCATCAACCACCTTGAAATGTTCAAACTTATTTTTGCCAAGCAAGCACAAAACCGGGGTTTCTCCACTGATAGTCATGACAGAATCAGACTGCAAAGAAGGAAAAGCGTGGGGTCTACCCAGGAGACAGGGGGTTCTGAGCATGCATTAACAGCTCAGTCGGCCTGTTCATGGCAAACACACTAACCAGGGCACAGCTTCCATTCACCACAGGGAAAAATCTGATTAACTCCTCTCTCACTCCCCTCCTTTCTTAGTGAGCACAACAACAGTGTATGTACGTAATGTGGACTCAATCGCATGTACCCTCTACACAGATCTGAGATATGAGGGTTTTCAAACATATGCCCTAGAGAACTGTTAAGATGAGTACCTCATTGTTCCTTCTAGCTGCTGAATACTCATTTCTCTGAAGGACAATCAGCCTAATCAGGGTGATTTCTCAAGACCTCAGCAAATTTCCCTCATGATGAAGTCCCAAGAAGAGTGGTCACAGTGAAAACTGGTTTGTCAAAATGGAGGAAGGCTGGTTATCTGGCCCTCATCTACCGGAAACATCTGCCTCTTGGCATTCTTGCCACTTACAACACACGGTACGGTACTTCAGAATTGTACAGAATTTGGATTCTCCACCAATGACCCTAAAGCACTGCAGGATCCTGCAGTACCTTCCGAATCAAGAATAAATTTATGTGGCATATCTGTGTTATTGTTGTTAGAACTGCTGAAGACTAATTGCCTTTATATGTGAAAATTTTACTAACCAAAAGTCCCATTCTGTAACTAAAGTTTATGACATGATTTAAAGCTCCTGAGGCTCAGAAGCAAATCTAAGCGAGCTCCAACCATACACACCCTTGGTATCTCCTTTCTTAAAGCCTGCTGGCATTTGACAGTCCACCTCCACCGTGTTTTAGAGTTAAGTAGAATGATCCAAGACCTCAAGCCCTGTGCGCATAGCTCGGCAGCTTGGAATGACATGCAGGATCCGGAAACTTGCTGCTTCGAGTACAATGATGAACAAAGAATCTCAAAGAACGGACATAGTCGGTGTGCACGTGTGTGGGGCCTGGCCTTTCAACTTACAAGGAGATGTCCCTTCCCTTAGATGGTCTGCAGGTTTGAAGATCTGCTCACACGCCATCTGTGACCTCAGGCTGAGGTAACAGGGCCTTGCTACTGTGTTCAGGTCACAGAGCAATGGAGAGGGTAAAGGATATAATTTTTCTAGGAGAGGTAAACAATTTCAAACTCATAATTGTACATAGTGCACTTGGAGGGTGGGAAGGGTCCAGTTAGAGCATCCTCCCCCCAGCTCACCAAGGGGATGGAGAAAAGTGCAGCAATTTACCAAATCAGCACCCCATGTGGAGAGAACATCTCACTGATGGGGGCTTTGAGCCACTGCTACCAAAAAGTTCATTTCCACCAGTTTTAGTCTGATATTTGTGCAACATCAACCTAGCTGACAATCTTTTCTTCTGCAAAACACATGAAACCCATCTTTGAAGGCACAATCCTCTAGGAATGATCTCTACCACTCCAAGTCAGCTCAGAATCAAGATGACCTGCCCAGGCCTTCTCACCCGGAGAGAAACGTTGGATCTTCTTACCCTGATTATCACAGGGTGGAATCTTCCCTAATTTCCTGTCCTTTGGATCTAGGATATTGAGTCAGAAGTGAAGGAAATATCATCTTGCACACTTGTTATCTCAAGATACAATGGAACATATACACCTCAGGTGGGTGGCATGAAAACCAGCAGCCCCAGAGCAGAAACTCATCTTTTGGGACACTGTAGTAAACTTCACAAAAGACAGGCTGGAGCTAAGACAAGTCACTTGGGTAGATGCTCTGGAGCAGGGTGCAGCTCATTCCGCAGCCCTGAAATCTACCCCCCGCCCCCGCCAAGTAATACAGGAGGGCAGAGGATGGCAGTGAAGTTCTGGCTGTAGCAGAGCTGCAACAAAGCAGGTAACAGTAATTGTTACTCCAGGCACTGTTAGCTTGCCAAAAAAAGCTAGCCTTGTATTATATTTTTAAAAGTCTGATAGCTGGAAAACTGGAACTCTATCCTGACTGTTAAGAGTGGGACAAGTTTCAGAACCAGCCCAAGGCCTCTCCTCTCTGACCAGTGAGGCCTACAGCAATTTCCCTGTGTTGTCACGTGGAAGGTACAGGCAACCTTAGGGCTGCCTTTCCCTATTTCTCCCCTGCTCCCACATATCCCAGACTGAAGCAGGAATTTACAAAAGAACTGAGCTACTGGCTTGACAGAAGCTAAGACAGAGATATAGATAGCTGAAGTCCATCAATACATACGAAGAAACTTATATCCAGAGAAACTTACCTAAAGATGACTGGTCATAACAGATGCTTGGAGCACAGAGATGGCCCCCAAATCCAGGTAGAACAAGTTAATGTAAGCAAGATGATGAAACCCCAAAATCATCAAGAATAAAAATGTAGACAACCCTGTCAGCTCAACATGGACTCCTGGGGGAGCATAGCCTGATAGTAACGATGACATCGGTAGCAAAAATGGAAGGGAGTGGGAGAGGTCAGAATGCAGTAGAGCTACAAACTCAGATGTGGCCACCAAAGCAATTTACTCTTTTTCTAAATAATTTAATAGGTGACCTATGTTCAGCTACTCCTCTTAGGGGGGAAAAAAAAAAACTAAACAGGGATGATGAATATCAAGCTCATCTACATCTGGTAGGAAATCCCAGAAAAGTAATTCCCAAAGTGCACTGGTTCTACAGCCATCCCATCTCTGCCCCCACCCCACCCCACCCCCAAAAAACCCAACAAAACTATGCAGGACATAGGTTAAAAAAAGACACTGTCAACATGAACAGGTAACGAGTCTGCTCCCACATTTAGGTACTAAATGGCTGAGCACGTGCTGGACAAACGTTCAAGGATGAGAGGGCCACACTCTTCTTGAATCAAGGTCCCTAGAAGAGCTGCTTTGTTCTGGAGTGAGTGCATGTTACTATTTTTTAAAGATTAAACCAGAAAGTTGGTCCCTAGTTTTCTGAAGTTATTCAGCACTGAGCTACAATTTTAGCAAAACACTTACTATACCTGCACATATTCATTTAGCAGTTTCATATTTAAAAATGTGATAAATTACAGAGCTGATTGTTCATATATCTGCATTTTCAGGTCCCCCACAGGCAAAAGCTTGTAAGTCAATCAACATCTAATTAACTGTTTTAACTTCTCAATAGACATTACTAATACAACTTTATAGTTATATTACACTTGATACTTTTCTCAAAGTGCTTTCATATACATTACCTCATAGCTATCAAAATGATATGGAACAATAAAGTTTGTTTTTTTAAGAAAAAGGAATGTAGGACTAGGTTTTTTAAAACTTAAGTTGTTATTTCTTTATTACAAAGTGCAGATTGCTGTGTCGCTGAGGTCTGTCCAAAAGAATGACCCCATATAATTTTTTAAATTACTGAGTTCTACTGAATGCCTGCTTTGCTAGTGTTGCCATTACTCAACATTCAAGTCCCTTAAGGTCAGGGAATGCCAGGAAAGTGTGCTTTAGAAAGTGTGCAGCACTGTGCAGACTGATTGTCTGAGCCTTTTTTTTTTTTTTTTTTTTTTTTTGCAGTGTCTCACAAGGCAACAGGAATGGTGGAAAGACCCCACAATGAGAAAGTGAATAAGACCCAACTCTAGCCTTGGCTCTGCCACTAATTAACTGCTCTGAGAATATGGGCAAGTAACTTAACCATCCTCTCTTCCAATTTCTTAAGCTGTAAAAAAAAAAAAAAAAAAGAGTTGGGGTATTGCTAGTGTTCACACAGTGCTGGGTGTCTGAAACACCTGGAGAGATTCTTGGAAAACACACTGGCTGAGACCCAACCCCACGGGGAATTCTTGATCTGGGGTGAGGCCGACGCATCAGGTTTTTTGTTGTTTTTCTTTTTTTAAACCCCAGGAAATTTTGTTGCACATCCTTGGCTAAGACTCACTGGAATAAGCGTTAATAATAATAGTAGTAGTAGTTAACATTTATGGAGTACTCATTACATGCCAGGCACTCAAGCTAACTATTCTACACACATTATCTCATTTAATCCTTACAACAACCCTGAGGTAGTTACTATTATTATCCCTGTTTTCCAATGAGGAAACTAAGGCCCAGGAAGGTTAAGTGACTTGCCTTCTAGACTGGCTTTAGAGTCTAAACTCTTAACCACTATCTAAACTGTATCCTTGAAGCTCAAAATCTCCATGATTTTGTTAAATAAATATGGGTGGTGCCTTAGGAAAGTCAGCATTTTATTAACTGGGCACTATT